TGTTGTTTACCATTATATAAGTTTGTGTGTTTACAAAGTGCGAAAGTTTGTTGAAGATGTCGAAAGTACCGAAAGGGTGAGAGCAAAATTGTTAAACTAATCTCCACGACAAATCCATTGAAACAAATTACCACCATTCAAAAACAAAAAACACAACCCAATCCAGAATTAAGACCATGTGGATATATGGTCGTCTGCATCATAACAATCAATCCGTGGCAACTTTTGAAACGCACATGAAATCAATAAGAAGTACCTAAAAGATGGTAGAAATAGAGCAGTAATGATTAACAAAAAAACACCATATGGTCAAATTTCTTACTTGTTCCTAATCCAAAAACTGCAAATTAAGCACTATTTCCCTCGATGAACTTGAACTCTTCTCCTCTTCGCTTTGTTTACATCTTAACATCGACGTAACTATTTTTATTCTGTAGAGACCAACAGATGGCGCGTGTTCAATCGAATCAAACGTTAAACGGGTTGCCTACCCACCAGCAAGTTCAGCAAGATTTGAGTAGATGGCGCGACCGAACAAATACACAATTACTATACAGGGTGTTCCAAGAAAGTTTTTTTTTTTGTTTTCTTTCTTTCATCGTCGCCGCGTTTTCAGATTAATGCAATTAATTGCTAACCTATAAGGGGATGGGGTGGGGGGGCAACAACACTGATGCAAACAGGGGGGTAAAACAGATATAACCATGTGTTAATTAGGTTGCCTACGAATGGAGAGAATCCATTTAATCTAAGCTTAGATTTATTTAGGTTTATTAAATAAAGAAATAGTAATTAGTAAATAATAATAGTAATAAATTATTTAATATTTGGGTTTTTTCTTATCTATGTATATAGATCGATGATGAATGTTAGATTAGTTCAGCGATTGGTTACGAGATGGTGCAACTGTTGATTTCATTCAAATTTGAAAAACTTTCACGTTTTTAAAACTTTTCTTAAGAATAAAACGAACAAATGAAGTACTAGTACATATATATATATTTGTATATTTGCATATAAATATCTTTTTTTTGTTATTCTTTTAATACTCTTCAGTTACTAAACGACTAAACGTAACACTAGATTGGCTTATAAAATGAACGAAAAATTAATATTAAAAAAAAAAGTCTAAAAGTTAGGTATACAAAAAAAATATAAGGAAAAGAAACAAGTGTAAAACAAATAAACAGTTTCAGGGACATATTCAAGGGGGTTTAAATGAACACAGGTACTAATGAGCAACTTACGAGAGATTGAAATAAATTTCAAAGAAAGAACTACGAAGAATCGAGTCGCGTCTGAATCGGCGGATCAGGACTCATGTTTGTGTAGCCGACGTCTTTAAGTAGACTAGACGAGTCATTGTTTCTGTTCACAACCAGCACTTCGTTATCACACGCCGTTCTGTCCTCCACAGTCCTCCTGGGCACTTCGTAGCCATCGTTCTCGACTTCGACGGAATCCTCGCCGTCGTACAGCAATTCTAGGTACTTGGGGATGTTCGTCTGCTGAGAATGCACCGCCGATGGGGATGGTGGGGTCAGGAACGGCGTCGTCATCGCCGCCTCCTTCAGCGACTCATCATCGTTGCTCCTCCACGACGTCCCTAATTGAGCCAAAAACACACACATTTCGTTTCTTTTAGCATACGTTTCGCAACGGATTCGTGCATTCGTTAATACCTGAATGATTATGATTTTGATCTTGAAAGTATGCCGCATTCGAGACACCATCAAACTCTGTAAAAGCCATATCCACATTCAATTAGCCCTAAGCTTCATGCAAATAGAAAATAATAGATCATCTTGTTTCAATCAATCCCATGCTGGGTGTTAATTAAATTCAATGAATTTGTTAATTAATATAATTGTGGGAAAAAACTTACGTTGAGGAACTGTGCTTATGTATTGACCGATGTGCGCGCCCGTCATCGGCGAGCTCATGTTCTGTGCGTAGAGCTTTTCCAGCTCATCCAAACAGAACTTGAACGTGGGTCTGCCCTCCGGATCGTAGCTCCAGCAGCTCAACATCAATGAATGCCTGAAATACAATACGAAATAAGCAAATTGTTTAAGAACTCTGAAACCAATTGATGCTTACAAAGTTTCCGGGCAATCGGTGGGCTTCCCCAAACGACCTCCACCTCGAACGTAGTGCAGAACCTCCACGTTCCCTCTCGCCGGATACGGTTTTTGCCCTAAAGTCATTATCTCCCAGAGGAGAACCCCGAACGCCCACACGTCCGATTGGCAGGTGAAGACGCCGTCCACCAGTGATTCGGGCGCCATCCATCGTACGGGCATCAGTCCTTCGCCCTCCTTCCTGTAGTAGTCGTTCTTGTAGATGTCCCGCGCCAAACCGAAGTCACCAACCTTGACGATCCTCTCCGCCGGATCGTTGGATGAGACCAGGCAATTACGACATGCAAGATCTCTGTGAACGAAGTGCATCTCCTCCAGGTAGCAGCAACCCTTGGCTACGTCGATGCACATTTTGAGCAACTCCATCAGGTTCAAGGAAGCCACCGGGCCCTGAAAATCAATTCAAAATGAATATATTCCTACTAAATTCATAATTGTTGAATGTACTTACGCCGATTTTCCTGGATGAATGCAGATAAGAGAGAAGATCTCCGCCTTCCATCAACTCCATGATTATATAATTAGGATCGTTGTCGAGGCAGACGCCCAGCAGTTGAAGAATATGCTCGTGCTTGAAGTGACTCATCAAGTGCGCCTCTTGCAGAAATTCTGATTTCACTTGCTCCGATGCGCCTTTGGGCAACGTCTTCACGGCTACTTTAGTTTCGCTGCAGTTATCGAAAAGCCCCTTGGCCTTACCCTCGTACACCTCGCCGAACGCGCCTTTACCCAAAAACTTTTTCAGCGTGATCTGCTCGCGTCTGATGTGCGGCAAGAGGTTCACCTCTTCGGGCGCCGTGTGCGTGGAGATGTAGAGAACGTTAGTGTTGTGGACAAAGTTGCCGAAACGCGGAAGCTCCCTCAGCGTGGCCAGTTCCATGTCCGATCCCCTGACTCGAGCTACAATATGTTGCTGTTGATTCTGCAGATGTTGCTGCTGCTGATGATCCTTCTTGTTACCAACGCAACACATCCTTGTGCAAATTACCAAACAAGAAACCATGACGACGACGAAAGCGCACACCGCTATTATCACGTAAGTGAAGTCTTGTCGGATTGCCAGCTGCGCCGAAGCCAACGGATCAAAGTGAGTGCTCTCCTCGCTCAGCTCGCTCCATCCGTAAAGATTTGATGCGGAGACACGGAAGGCGTAGCGATAGCTTTCCGATAACCCGACAATCTTCCAGAACGTATCTGAAAATAAGTAAATTGTTATAATTCGCTGTTGAAGAAGACGTTGTGGATTTAAGATTTACCTGTGCCGTTGTATAGGGGTTCCCAGTCGAATTCGGGGACATCCTCGGAGGTGAACCAGGCCGTTTTATTGGTGCTTCTTTTGCTCCTGTAACCGGGAATCTTCAACGCTTCAAGCATGTACAAATCGATTGGTGCACCGTTCTCTTTGGACGCCTCCCACCACACCTGGTAAACTTCCTTCACTTGCTGAATGACTGGAATTCCAGGAGCAGACGGTCTATCACCCAGAGTATCGAAGATGAAGCGTGCATCTTTCGGCCAAACATAATCCTTCGCGTAATTCCGATACTTCAGATTCAATCTAAACTTGTACTGAGTCTTTGCCTTCAGACCACCAACCGTTACCAGATCGCTGTTTTCGTCGTGGCTAACATCGAACCACTCATTGGAAGTGGACAACGCACACTGCATTTGATATTTATCGATGTACGAGGAGACGTTCCACCTTACAACCAATTGCGAAGATGTCGAAGATACGAGCGAGATGTTTTCCGGTTCAGGATAAGTCTTCTCCTGCACCACGTCGCTATCGCTCGACGTCTCGTTGTTCTCGCTGTATGCCCGCACCCAAATAGAATACGTCTCGTTGGGTGTAAGATTTCTCAAGAAAGTCGTGTACGATTTCGAACCTTGCAGATCGTTTTCCATGATCGTTTGCTCTCCTTTCTGCCGTATTCCGTTATGCGATCCATCGTACTGCCAATGGATAACGTAGTATACGAAATCCCCGTTTATTTCTTGAGGTGGAAGCCAATTCAGCTGAAGAAGAGTAGGATTGAGGACAGTCACCCGAACGCCACTCGGCGGTGATGGAGCTCCAGCAGCAGTTTGGAAAACGACTCCGGGTCCGATAAATTCACTGGCATTGCTCAAATAATAATTGCTTAAGGTAACGGAAAAAACATAACGCGAATACGATCTCAAATTTCCAATCTCCAAAGAATCCTCAAAGGTCTGCTCCTGGGTGCACGTCTCGTCGCACCTCAGATCATTCTCATCGTTGTAGGGCATGTAAAACACCCTGAACTCCACCGCCGCCAAAGAATAATCTTCGCATTCTGCTTTGACCTCGACTTCGGGCATCTTCAGCCGCAGCGTGTGCGAAGTCTTGTTAACCAAACCAACTGTTAAGTTCTTCGACAACAACGGAACCAGACAATCCTGCTTAGGATAAGGCTGCATGTGCGAACCGAAGATCATCACGTCGTTCGTATCTATTTGTTCTACCATTACCTCATCGTTACGCCACGAATTCAAAAGACCTCCGCGTCCTCTGTTCTTCCAGTACAAACTACCGAAATCCCCGCGAATCGTCTCGACGGGCTCCTCAATACCTGCATAGACTTCTTCGCATTTGCAACCATCTCTATCTGCAGCCAAGACGCGTTTCGCATATTTATTAATGAATATTAGAGATGGTTTATCTGGTCTGGAATGGTCCAAAGTGAAGGTGCGTTCGATTTGCGGATGGTTCGGACAGTCGCATTCATCCAAAGGATTTCCGAAGAACGGGGCCATCTCGGAACCGTCGCTGTTGATCTGCATCAATACAGACATACCAGAGTCCTCTTCGATCCAATACAACTTCCTAAACAGAGAAAAAAAAATGTATTCGTTTCTTCAGTTACAACAAACAGTGAAGATTACTTACGAAATCCGAACATTATAAAGTCAGCAAAAGACATTATAAACATTATACAATTAACCAACTTTCAAAACAAAATATAAATCAATCTTTGTTTTACCTTGTAAATGGTGAAATCTCCAGTTTTACGATGGATTTGGGCGTGCGGAAGATCTGCTTGCTCTTGACGACGCCCTTCTCCATGTGGTTGAGATCAAGCTTGTACACGAAAGTGTTCGACTCGTCCTTCTGCACGTAATACAGACTCCTCTCCAACCAATCGATTGTTAATCCGATGGGTTTGCCGTTGATGTCGAAGATTTTGCTGCGATTCAACGTAGCCAGATTGAACATTAAAAGCTCCTGCATGTCGTTGATCCAGAAGATCTTGCGCTCTTTAAGAAGATAACCGATAACCATTGGAGTGCTGATGCCTTGCAGCAGGCTGTAATTCAACTTGGTGTCTATGTCCTGGATGAAGATTGAGTCGCTCGTGGCTATGAGGAGCGTGGGAATCGGAGATTCTTCGCTGGTGTCGACTTCCAAAGTAGAGGAGATTTCTCCATCGCCGATATTCGTAAAGGCTTGTATCTGCACAAAAATTAGTAATTAATAATTGCTTTCAAGTGGAAGCGATCGATAATTACTTGGAAGTAGTAGAACTCGCTGTTGAGCAGGTTGTCGAAGACGTATTCTTTGTCTCCAGCTTCGAGGATCAAAGATTCTGCAGTCTTCTTGCTGAGACTCCACCAGGTTATTTTGTAACCCTCGAGTACTCCGTTCGGATTTTCAGGCGAATCCCATCTCAGTGTAACATTTATACTTTCACTGCTGTGCTCGTGGACAACGAAAGCTCGAGGATTCTTCGGTGCAGAAGGGGTTGAAGGCGGAGAGTGGATCTTCACTTTGACTAACGTCGAGGCTCCCCAATAAGTCAATGCTCTTAAAGAAACGTGCATCAAACTGTACGGTTTCACTCGGTGCATGTACTTGATGCTTGGATAAGTCGTTGAAAACTGCAAACAGCAAAAGTTAACCATCAACAAAACAAAGTTAAAGAAAGGGAATAATTACAATCGAATCGTTTCGTAATTGTGTATCGACTTTTATCTCATAAAAGACGATTCCATAATTCACTCTTTGCACGGGTTTCCAGGTGATGTTGAAGTAATCCCAGCTGCCGGAGACCTGCACGGAACTCCTCTCGATTTGTTCCGGGATCACCGAGATTCCCTTCATAGAAGAAAACTTGGTAGCGTCTGCAATAAAATTAACGTTCAATTCCATCCGATAACATTAGATAATCAAGTATTTACTTGGTGTTATTTGTTGCGAACTATCCATGATGTAGATCATGTTAAGTCCGGATAAACTCTCGGCGCTGATGCTTGCAGCATATTTGCCTTTGAGGTCGCTGATGACGGCGCTTTTATCATCTTGCAACCAGATGAGGCGGTTGTTGAAGTAGCACAGAGGACCGCGCATGCTGGGTTTTTGAAGACTAGATATCCTCTCCGACGTGGGTTTTGTTATAAACTTTGATCCGGCCATGGGAGCCCTGTAGAGATTCGACCCATCCGAACCTCGCACTATCCAATAAACGTCCTGATGATCCATATCCAAAGTCAGACCCATAACTGCAAAATGTAAACAAATTCATTATACATAATTCCTAATTGTAATTGTGGTATGCAATTTTACCTAAATTTCCAGAAAATAACTGCGATTCATGATAGATTATTCGATCTGCCCCATTGAGGTGAGCGCACTCAACGGTATGTCCGGTGGACCAATACATGTAGGCTTTCAAAGAGTCGACGTTCAGTTCTTTGGCAGAAGTGACGATAGGTAAAGGCTCTTGATGACCTCCGAGCAAATTACCACGGATTATCTAAGAAATTAACATAATTAATTCAATGAATCAAAATAAATTTGAGTGTAGATTTACCAGCTTCTGCTTGGGACTGGACCAGTACAGCTTCTTCCCGATCCAATCTATGGAGATGCTCCCCACCGAATCGATGTCGGCCAAGGTTCCGTGCTTGTGCGAAGTCATATTGTACCAAACAATCTGCGATGTGTTTGTCACCAGAAAGAGCTGATCCATGTACCAAGCAATATCCTTGATGTCATCGTAATCGCTCATCAGAGTTTTGTGGATGACCGTCTCGACATTTTCGCCGCTCGCATCCGATTTTAACAGTCCATCCACGGCGGACCAAAGAATCACCGGATGGTTTCCAGCGCCGCCTTTGATCCTCAGCGTCCTCCCCACGAATTCCGTGGACCAGGGTCCTTTCCCGAAATCCGTATACGCTGCACATTTAATAACGTACTCGGTATCTTCTCGCAGATTCCTTATGGTATATGATGTCGAGTTAATGTCGCGAATTCTTCTGATTTCCTGAGTGCGCAGATCTCTGATGGATATCTCGTAGGACCAATTTTGCCAGGTGCCTTTTCCTTGCGCTCCCAGCAAATGCGGTGGTAACCAGGTGGTTTTGGCGATGTCCCGACCGAAGATTGCTTGCACCGAAGTGGGTGGATTCACGGGAACAGGAACCGGTTGAGAACTGGACAGATTCACTAAAACTTTAGTGTAGGACTTGGAGAGTTGCAGTGGATAAGAGTTGTGAAAGTACAGGCTTCTGTTGGAGAGGAGATGATCTTCCTCGTAGATCACTTCAACACCGTCCGTCCAGTAGAATTTCTTGTTGGCTGAAGCTATGGAAACGACCTTCTGAAGACGCGGCGTTGTTATTTGAGGCCTCATATTGGACACTTCTTTCCTACAAATTTCAATTCAAATTAATTTTAAATCTAAACTTTGAATGATGATTCTTACCCGTCCAATGAGACTGAATACACAGTATTATTGTTCTGATCTGCTACCAGAAGACTGAAGTTGGTGTGATCTATGGTGAAGGCACCCAGATTGCTCTCAGCAAGTATGAGTTCCGGTTTAACGTCGTGCTTGATACCGTTGCTTATGTCGGCGAGATCCAGCCTATAAAGTCCGTTTGTAGTCACCCAAAACAGATAACCATTGTATGGATCAACTTCGATATGGTGCGGCTTCACCCTTAATCCAGCAACGGCAACAGTCAAACCTCCACCGTCTATGTCGCACCTGGCGATCTGCCAAACCTTGGCCTGGTGCGTGACCTCCCCGAGAATATACAAATGCTCATTCAACCAATCCATCGACAAATCCAACGGAATAAAGTTGATCTGCCAAGGGGACAGAATGGGAACGATGTTCGAATGTGTCGCGTAATTCCCCAGCGACATTCGCCGCACGTATCGCGCGGAATCGGCGACGAAGAGAAGACACCTACTGACGTAGATGGCTAAACCGGTGATGAACTCGTTGGTGTTGTACAGGATGATCGGCTCGTCCAGCATGTGAGTTCCCTGCTCGATGACGACGTGATGGGCTCCGAGAATGAGCACCAATTTCTCCGAATCTTTTGCAGCTAAAAAGCATGTTAACAGAAGCATATTAAATACTATCTAGTTTATTATTGGCGTTTGTGGATGATTTATGGGATCGACGATTGACGAAGAGAAAAGAAATATATATATATGAAAAAATACAATCTAGTGGCATGAATGAACGGATAAATAAATGAAATAACTGAAACGGGAGCGCACACACTCTCACTCTAGCAATTATAATGATTGATATTTTAGTACACTCAGATCGTTGATCCCACGGTTCATCATCCATATTTCCGAACAATTCAATATCTTTGTTTACAATTATTACCGCATCATCATTAATTATTATACAACTATAGTGTTTGCATTCAATAATTAAAGTGATAATAAATACCTTTTGGTTCTGTTGGCGTTGATATGGAAACATTCGCCGAAGGTCCCGGCCCGACTTCGTTCCTCATGCTTATGGAAATGGTGTAGTTCTTCTCGGGCATCAGATTCCTCAGCATGTAGAAATTGTTCTCCGCGGATAAATCCTATAGTTTGCAATTAAAATAACAATAATGAATAAGATTGAAGAAGCAGAAAAAAATAGAAATCAAAGCGCAATTTAGAACTCATGCAAATTTTAAGAAATGTAAAAATAAATAAAGCACGAAAGATGTGAGAGGTGCAAAGCGTGCGGCGAAAACGAAACAAGAGGTCAAATCTTCTTCTGGTGATGATCACCACTTTTTTTTTTTTTGAAGAAGAAGAAAAGACGTGTGAGTGGAGAAGACGACATACAGTGCAAAAACAAAACACAAACAGAGGTGGATAGAGAGGAAAGAAGGTTTTTTCTTGTGTGGATAAATCAACCACCACCAAACATCGCTGTGGTATCTACTGGTTGCAATTGTTATTTATAAGAGAAAACGAAGAAGTAAAACAATTGGTTTTAGAGAGTGAGAGAAAGAGAGATAGAGATAAAACAATCGAATATTTTGTAGGTGGGCGCACCTTGAGGGCGGAATAACCATGGGGTTGGTTGTCAGTGATTCTGAGCACATAGGAAAGGAGGGGTCCGTGCAGGAAGGGGCCGGGTTCCCAGCTCACGCTGATGCGTGTAGAATCGACAGGTACCGCACGCACTATCGAAGGTGGCGACGCCGGGACACCCCCAGGCCTGGTGCTGATGACGACGCTCGGCGGCGACACTATCGGTTCCGTCAGATTCGAAAGGATCAGAGCCACCCTGAACTGAAACGCAAAACAATCATCAATCAATATGATCAAGAGAACAATGTAGTAACCTTTCACAAACTCACCCTGTACTTGGTGTAGGGCTGCAGGTTGTCCACGGCGACGGTATGCTGCGGTCCCCAGCTCTGATTCCTGCAGTACTGCCAGTCGCCGGCGTGTTCCTCGTAGTGCCACTGCAGGAAGTACTTGAGCCCGGCCTGCTGCGCCCTCGGAAAGTTCCATTCCAGGCGAAGACTCGTCGATGTTAAACTGTCGGCGACGAGAGCTGGAGGCGGCGGTGTACCCAAGCTGAACCTCAACTGGAAGTAGTACCTAGTCACGGCGTTGTTGCAGCCGATGATGCAGTACAATTCCTTCGAGGAGAGAATTCCATCGGTACTTCCATTTTGCTGAAGAAACCAAAAATTAATTAATAACGATCTGTCGTCTTCATGTTAAAAGAAATGTTAAAAGAATACTCACGCATACAGACTGACAGGAACCGTCCAGAGCGGGTCTCCAAAGCGTGCATCCTTCCTCGCACTGGAAATAGACACAAAATTACCATTATGCAACACAATTTAAATATAAAAATCTCTTTGAAGTTTCCTGACTAAAATTAATATATATCTTCTTGCAGTTCGACGCACCCGAAACTCACGTAACCATTCGCATTCTCTATTAATTCAAATGCTTAACTTCGATAACTTATATACCGCGCCAACTACAAGGACGAAAGTTAGCTCATTGGAAAAGTTATAGTTTTTGTCTTTAATTTTAAAACTATCCACATATTCATGCGAAAACTGTTATAAAAGTTGACGTGTATTTCATGGAATCAATTAAAGATTATTAGCATTGAAAAGGTGACTTTACTCGTATTACTTAAGACAATGCGAGTATTGAATACACTAATTATATTTGATAGTACGTGAAGTATGGATTGTACGTAATTTGTATAATTACATTCATTTTGAACACGAGAAAACGTTGATGAAAGGAAGAAGAAGAAAAAAAAATGTGTATAATCAACGTTAAGTGTCTTTAACAAGCAGAGATCTAATTGAAGGAAAAAAAAAGTGCGCTTTTTAAGGGAAAATTAGTCGGCGTTTTTATTTTGATGGCATTAGCGTACTTCCGCCGCTCTCTTCCTCGTCGTTCACTAACTACTCGGTAAGGAATTCGGTAATTCCTTGTAGCACACGACAAAATAAACGCAGCAGCAGGCAACGACGACGACGATGATGATGATATTCATTTGTTCCGTCTCTCGTGAGGATAAGAAGAAGTGGGCGCCCCGTGTCGTGCTCCCAATACATGTAATTCGCTTCCCTCTTCGTGTTAAAACTCAATTAGGGCTTATTTACAAATATAAATATCATCATCATTGAAACAACAGTTGGATGTGAGCACGAATTGTTGATGCGAGAAGATGGGACAATAATTTCGTGTTTCGGTATTGCGCGCGCCTCTCGTCCTCGGGACACAATTCCATTTACTGATCCATCGCGTCCGCATCGCAATTAACGTTTATTATTGACCTTTCCACTTTAAAATCCCTGCCGCAATCGGTGCAGAAAAATAACAAAATCGAACATTCAGAAGAGGCAAAAACAACAACAACAGTAGCAAACGCACATCAAATTAGTATCTACGTAATTGATTGCAAATTCACAACTTAATTAACTCGTTTGATAACAATCATAGAAATCTAGCTATCAATTGCATATATACATAAATTGATGAAATAAAAGCTAAAACTATAATAACTTAATTAAATCTAAATAAAACTGAAGTTGCTTTAATTTATAACTAACGAACATGTGTGTTTACTTAATCTTCTGCCTTCTTAAAAACGGAGCGTGTTATGACTAAGAAACAATTGCCGAATGATGCAAATATGCAGGCACTCGAAATGCAATTGTTTCACGAGAATCGCGATGATTGGTGCAACGGAAATACCAGAAACAAAAGAGCGGATATTTGTTTACTTTACGAGAGCTAATGAAATCAGCCGAGCGCGTCAATTGTCCAGGGAAAGTTAATTAATGAATGAATGAATGAATCGATTAGGCAAAGTTCACACGCACATCTACACTCTAAGCTACTTAATGTTAATTGCGGCCAATTTACGAAAATGTAAATATCGGTTGTAATCTATGCACGCATCATATTTTTGTTTTTTTTTAATAACGTTGATTGGTTGCGAGTGGGGTGTTGTCGATGCTCGTTTGTTGCGCTGCCAACTAGGGTTGGGAATAACCTGCAGTTGAACGGCGTTGATGGTTGATTAATATTACTTGAAAAACGGTGCAAGTTAATGAGGAAGTGGGGAATTAGGCAACTACTGCTGCTGCTGCTGCTGTCCACTCTCTGCTCTATACTACTATATACTCGACTTCACTCCAACAAACATTGTCTCACCAAATTATTGCGTCAGTTACAAAACCTATTCATTATATAAATATATACATTTAGATAGATAGATAGATGTAGAGAGAAAGAAGATAAAGACGAGATTTGAGAGAGCGAGATAACCTCGGAATCAACCCTCGCAGAGAGGGCTCATGCTGGTTAATCATTGCTGCGCGCCTCCTAATTACCGACTTCCTTCTTGGAAAATTATCATCATCATCATCATCATCACCATCACAAAATAAAAGAAAACTAAATAATAATAATATTTAACAAAACCCTCCAATTATCGTAGTAACCATGGTGATTCTACGGACGTTTCCATGGCAAATTCAAACAAAAAAAAAAAGAAGCAAAACAAACGAGTCGGGGTTGTTCTCACGGCATTTATAATACATCGGAGGCACCCAACGAGCGCACTTCCATCCATCCATCCATCGGCCGCAATTAATATCAATTATCCAATTCGTCCGTACTATATAGTATTCAATTAGGTCCCATTTCCATACGCATTTATTTATAGTCCATACATCCTCCCGCTCACTAGCACTATATGCATTTTGTTTATTCCTTTCTATTCTCTCTCTCTATTCCATCCTAAACATTCCATTTTCCTTCTTTTTTTTTGGGAAAGGCGACACACGTGCCGCTGAAAAATCGCTGAAATTCCTTTTAGCGCCGATAAGAGGTGAAAAAATATTTTTTTTTAGACTCAAATCAATCGCGTTTGCTTACGACTCCAAACAATTGAGCGTCTGTTTTTTTTTTGTTGTTTTTCTCCGTGATCCGAGCTTGCTCAATGAGAGACGAATTAATTGGGGGCAATTAATGAAACGCTCATCGCCGCAAATGGGAACATTTCAATTAGCCCACTATTTCTATTTTTCGCGCAATCCAATTGAAAGTTTCCAACTTTTCGTTTAATTGTTTCAAGATCAACCAGTAAACAAAATGTTAATTACAAATTATTAATTGTACATAGATTTAGCTTCAATTTCAAAATACATAAATTAAATTCAAATTCATTCAAATTGATAATTGTGTATATACATTTAGGAGTGAAATACAAAGAACTTTTCGTTAAGTGGTAAAGTTCGGTAAAAATAAGTAAATAAAGGCAACATTAAGTAACTATTTTTAATGATGCAATCGAGCTACAAAGTGGTGCATTTTTTACGACCCCGCTATATTTAGTATGCGCGATAAACTGGAAGTCTACAGAGGTTACAGATTTATATGCATTCGCTCGTTATTTCTTCTTCAACTTGCTGTTATTTTTTCGCTTCTTCAATAGATACATTATTATTATTATATGCAAATAGAAACGTGCATCTATATCTTTCTCTCTATATAGTAAAAGCGTTAATGCTTAATGTAGCAGAAAATACCATTGCATTTTAATTACATCGCGATTGCGATAATCAGCAGAGCTCAGTCAGTGCGTTGTTCTGTTGCTTAGCAACCACCATTTAAACAAATTGATTGGTTACCATGGAGTTGTTATGGTATTGTTGTTGTTGTTGTTGTTTAGTTTTCGGTACATTTAGAAATTAATCCGAGTGGCGAAACGGAAAGATCGTATTAATTAATATCGATCGAAGATAGCGTTTGTTGTTAATTGTTGTTTTTGTCCGATTCATTGCCGGGTTATGTAAGAGTTTTTCGAGTCGCGTTTCTTACACTTTCAAATACGACATTTAAGGAATAAACAAATATAACGGTCGATCGGTTTTTTATCTGTGCTCCTGTTTCTCGTTCGTCGTTTTGTTTTATCTCTTCTGCACTCTTGACTTTTCCGAAAGAGAAAAAAAATATAGAGAGTCTGGTCCTCGTTGTCTGGCGCTTGCAGCGTGTTTACCAACCACCATTACCATATAGGGGGTGTCTGCTGCATTTGCTAATGGAATGATTTATCATCATAGCCCATTAAATCTACATTAGCCTCTTCTGTTCCATGCGACAACTGACTTCTTCTTACGAAACAAAATTCACTTGTTTTCGTTTCTGTTACAAGAACAAATTTAAAAAAAAAAAAATGGAGATTCGAGGCCTACTCTCCCTTTGATTGATATGTTTTCGATTTCATTTGTTTTTTGTGTTGTCTTTCTCCTCGAAGCCTGCCTTGGCTAATTGATTAATAATATTCATACACTGCACACACACATAATACAAATAAGTAATGTATTTGCGTATTCTGTTATCGCGAATAGCGCAAACACCATCGTGCAATTTCAGGAAAAGTTTATGCAATTTTCGAAAAACAAACGTCGTTTAGAGAAAATACCGGAGAAAATAGTTTGTATATAAACATTAATAAATTTAAATGAATTCTACAAGATAAATCTATACGCAAGGTATCAGTAACGTGAAACCAATTAAATGCAGATTTCTCTCTCATGTAAAAATTTAAAAAAAAAAAACAATACGTAAATATCCGCATGGACACTCGATAGTTGTGAGAATGCAGACACGAACATCGATTTGCACTGCTTTTTTTTATGTTCAATTCATTCACATCGCATTTTAATTGTCTCCATCCCTGTAGTTATTCTCGTATAAAGCGTATTGCATAGATGCGGCGATGCAGAGATCCGCTTCCGCTCTCGCGCGCCCACCTACAAAAACCTTTCTTTCACCTCGTCCCATCAATCCAAACATTCATTTCCTTCCCTCGCCGATATAATTAAACTGATTTTCCAGAAAAGATTGACGATTTTCCGTTTTAAAGATAACCATCGCGGTTGGCCTTGTAAAGAGTTAAAACGGTTGAGAAACTCTGGTTGAGCATTGTTTTGTATGTGGAAGGAAAATTCGTCAAAGAAACAAACAAACAAAAAAAAGAAGGATTGAATTTGTTATCAGCGACTGGAGGCGCTTTGGGTCACTCTAAGGTCGCCTCTTATATTCATCTCGCTGTAGTGTGTATATTTAGTAACGTGTCTGATGCTCGGATCTCTCTCCGACTGACCTGACGACATGGAAAACATGCACACAAGCAGTAATAAATAAATTACTGTTTTTGTTTGTTTGTCGCCTCCGGAATTGATTTACGCTCTGCTCTCTCCACAAAGTAAATCCAGTTACCAGTAGCGAATTGAAACAACAGAAGAAGCAAAAAAAAGAGAGAAATCTGTATGATGTTAAAGCTGGTAACTAAGAGAGAGAGAAGTGTTATTGTTATATACGAGGCTACAACAACCCACTCTATTCAATTTAGTGGCACGAAGTGGAGCAAATGTCACTTACAGCCCGCGCAATTGGCGAAATTACGCTCGTATTTACATCGTGTCGCGTTCAATTCGAAATAAATAGAAATTTTCGGGTGTAAATTTAAATTTGCGCAAGACTCACCAAAGCGGTGCCTCCACAAGCGTCGTCGCAATGTCCATCCGTGTGGTTCTGAAACAATAACAACAACAATAAAATCAATTACAATTTGATATTTAAAATAAAATTAACTTAATAATTAAAAAAAAATAGGTAGGCTTATTTATTTGGTAACATTTGGTACCAATATCAACGCATTGATTAAAGCGACAACTTTAAATAACAAAATGTATGTTTTTAGTAACTTTCGTGTTTTTCGCGTAAATGACAATCCTGAAATAACTAAATGTAAGGTTAATATTAATTGCGATTATTAATAATAATTCAAGTATAAACAACGTTGGAAATTAGCGTAATTGAAATGAATAATTAATAATAATCAATTTCAATTAAATTATAATTAATATAACGAAATTTATTGCGATAAAAGTAAATTATTATTAATTTTGACACTCACCCTTAATTGCACACTACTTTGTTTTTTTTTTTGTTGTCAACTTAAGATAAATAAAAGTCACCGATTCTTTTAGTAATATTTTTGTTTTACAACGAAAATCGATGACAAACATTAGATAATGAAAAGTTTTCGATTTAATTTATAGACATAATTTAGATGAATTGTTCGATTTTAATGAATAAACAATCAGTGCGCAAAATACGAGTTAAAAATGTAAACACGATTCGATCTTTTTGTAACATGTTGAATAGGAAAATAAGCGTTTATTGTCATTACACAATGACAACTTAAAACAACTAAATATCACTGTTTGTTTTATATTAGAAAAAATATGAGAAAACGTTTTTAAATTAAATTATCTATTCAAATTGGAATTTAATATTGTTATAATATTGAGAAATTAATATTAAAATTTATTAAATATTAATGATATTAAAAAATAAAAGATGTAGCTGTGTTCGCTAACAATAACACTTGACTTTTCTGCTGGATGTTGTCATGGGAACGTAAACAACGTGCACTTGTATGCACAAACCACCTGACACACTTGCTTCTGGTTTCTTCGCTTGTTTCTTTCATGGCACACTTGAGCGATCAAGGGTTCGGCCACTTCCTCATTTCACCTAACATCCGATCCCACACAGTCAGTGGTGCTGACCCTTTTTTCTTATATTCACGTAACTTTTTTTTTTTCTGTATTCGTTGCGTGAAATTATTTCCTGAAATCCCTTCATAAACCGGAATTATCCGTTTAACGGAAACGCGTTCTGCATCGAAGCCTCTGTATCGTTTTATAGTGGAATTACTCTAGTTCATATATTTACATTATTACCATTTAATACATGTGGGAAAACGCGCGCTTCGCTGCGTTACATATAGAATGCATGAATATTAACATCCTTTTTAATGCTACAGCCGAAACGTAAACAGACACACGCACAATGAGAAAGAAGCTCAAGGATCTCCCGATTCCAACAACAAACAGTGTTGTTTCGCTATTCATTTTTTTTTAAATTTATTTCGTTGTCATGTCAACGCTTTTTGTTTGAAAGGGATTGCTGTCAATGATGACATAGAAATGGGGGTAAACACGTTGAGAGACAGTTGAAAGACGGATAATTTTCGGGCTTTATCGCCAACTAGAAGCGAGATGTTATTAATAACATTCAGATCTGCGGTCATCGGTCAAAGCAATAATGAAAAGAAATAAGATATAGTTCAGGGAGCGTAGAAAACACTGGTCCAGAAAGATTCTTTCTTTGAATTTAATTCGCGCAAATTAACTCCGACATCTGTGCGTGTCTCATTCACTGTCCTCCTCATGTTTATCAAAGTCTTCCATCGTTGAAAGCGAAGGGAAGGCCGATGCACTTGAAAACAACGGTGACTTTAAATCCTAAACAATCTCTGAAACAAGGCAGACGTTCTTCTGTTTTTTTCTCCTCTTAAGCGGTAGCCGATTAACGCAAAGTGTTTACAAATTCTTTGATTACGTTAGCAACCCTTAAATTACCTTGGTTACCAAAAGAAAAAAGTGAATTTCGATTTTATTTCCAGACAACATTTTGTTTGTTATCAGGGCGACATTAGATAATGAAAAGTCACTGTTAAGGAAAAAAAAAACTAGAGTTTTGTTGTTGGTTCACCGGCAACTTTAGATATTCAAAAATTACCGTCTTTCCAATTTTTTTTGTGAAACTTTAAATAATTTTAAATATCAATAATATAAATCATTTTTTCTTGTTTCTTTTATAATGATAATTTATATTGAATTAATTTATTTAATAATATTAATAATGACATTTACAATATAATATTATCAACTTTACATAACAAAAAGTCACTGACATCACCGATAATTTCATGAGTTTATTACTGAACGCCTCAACTTTAGATAATTAAAAGTAACTAAATGTGAGTATAAATAAATTTCTCAACGCTTCCAAACAATTGTCTTTTCAAAATTATTTTTTTTGTGAAACTTTAAATAATTTAAATTAATTATCAATAATATAAATCAATTTTTGTTGTTTCTTTTATAACGATTATTTCTATTGAATTAATTTATTTAATGTTATTAATAATGACATTTACAATATAATATTATCAACTTTACGTAACAAAAAGTCACTGACATCACCGATAATTTACTGAGTTTATTACCCAACGCGGCAACTTTAGATAATTAAAAGTAACTAAATGTGAGTATAAATAAATTTCTCAACGCTTCCAAACAATTGTCTTTTCAAAATTACTGTTTTTGTGAAACTTTAAATAATTTAAATTAATTATCAACAATATAAATCAATTTTTCTTGTTTCTTTTATAACGATTATTTATATTGAATTAATTTATTTAATAATATTAATAATGACATTTACATTATAATATTATCAACTTTACATAACAAAAAGTCACTGACATCACCGATAATTTACTGAGTTTATTACCGAACGCGGCAACTTTAGATAATTAAAAGTAACTATTCAAATTTCTCAACGCTTCCGTACAATTGGATTGTTCAATATTGAAGAGGATTAATGTTAATTGTTTATTGTCGCGAGATGATAATTGAAATCGAATTGGTTGGCTTCGTCATTGAATTGATCAATTGTTTCGGGTTGCCATTGACCAACTTAACATAATCAAATTACACTAACCATACGCAACGCTTATCGCATTTAAGAAAGCAATTCCACTGA